CTACTAGTAGCTCCTGGCATTGCTACGAGAACAAGAAGCTACTAGTAACAAAGGGCATCGCTACGAACGGAGCAAGGACGCTAGCTCAGGAGAGCGAATCTCACGTTGCGGCGACACGGGACACGTGGCCGCGGAAGACCCGAATTTTGCTGGTTGACCAGTCGTTTCTGTGTTGAATGATGTTGAATGTGACGTCCAGACTCTTAAGATCAGTCAACGCAAAGAAACTCCAAGATTTTAATTCCTTCATGCATCTATTTTTTTTTGTTTGACTTGTTGTTCGGTTACTCTTTGTCATCCGATGATTCATCAGTGATGGCCCGTCGGACGATGTCCCGTGACGGCTATTTGGTCGGAGTCGTAAGCGGCCAAATGGGTGTCAGTTCAAAACAGAACTCCCTCCAGTGGAGGAACATGGCCGCGAAAGGAAGACTGTTTTCCTCTACGAACAGGCTGTATTCCACTTCTATGATTGTTTCAGGGAGGGAAGACCCCCAAAGATCTGTCATTTCGGTTCAGACACACCCGATTCGACCAGTCGACCCAGCCAGCGGGCCGAGAGGACTCGGGTGTCTCCGCCTTTGACATACGCCTTTCGTTCGACTGAAAAAATGGGAACGAGCTGGCTTTATGCAGTGTGGGTTCCTTAGTAAAACCATGGTTGTTTGGGATTCAGACCACAATCCTGGGCCAAGAATCGCAGACATACCCCCCCAAACCCACCGAGCACACGCTTCGCCGACGGTAGCTGCTCTTTGCTGCCGGTCCCAGACCCGGTCCCAGACCCGGTTGTCGCCTGTGCCCGTTCGCCAGGTTATCGAGTCTCGCACTTCCATCGCGAGCCGCAGGTCGTGGGGAGTTTCGGCGAGTTTCGGCGGTCGTTTCGGCGGTCGTTCTGGGCGGACGTTCTCTGCGTTCGTTCGTTCTCTGCGTTCTCTCGCGTCGTTGGTCATCGTTTTGGTCAAAGAGGTGGATCATATTTGGGGAGATGACTGCAAGAAAGTCAGCATGTCGGCATGTGAAACAGATCTGAATGCACACAGTTTTCTTTCATATACGTCTTTTTCAGAACAGTTCCATGGATGTTCCTTCGGAAACGTCAGACAGGCCTTTGACGCGCCGAGATCTTAAATCAGTGCCATCACATGGCATATGCTACAGATCATGGCACCCGAAGCCCGGTTGACCATGTTTGGGGGCGTCGATTCTGTTCATCTTCCGGTGCCATGACCCCACAGTTATTTTAAATCGATTCGGCTTGGCGTGTGGATGAGTACCGGTTTTAAAAACAGATAACATATTCCTTTTCTACACGTGCATCTGCAATTTCGGGGGTCATCCCAGTATAGAAGTTTTTGGATCTGCAGATTCGGGCGTCTTCTCAACTTCAGGGCTTTTGGAGTTGCCATTTTTTGGGTTGGAAAAGGGTGAAATGCACTACGGTCGGCCCAGGACCCAGTTAGGTAGGTGGTTTCAAGTGATGGAGAGGCCCATCGCCAGGCCCATCAGGCACGATTTTGCCTCTTGGCGATCCTTTTTGGTGGTCAAACGAGAACATCTGGTGGCCAGATGATTTTACCGCCCATCGCGGACCGGCGCTTCGGTGGTTCGGCCATGTACCGTTCCCACGCTGACCAAGATATCACATGGGCCAACGTGGATGGCAGGGTCCCGAGTTCGGAAGACTGGACTTTCCTCGAAGGCAGCGGGGTGAACTCAACCTAACCACGGAACGTCGTTCTCCCAGCGTAAAGACCAGAAAAGGAGAGGGTTTGAATCCTTGAGTGTCTGAGCCAGCTTTGGTATGTCCCATTACTTGTAACAGTCGGTAAGGGCTGCAATCCAACCATTATCATCCACTGTTACTGGAAGCTCGGGATCATACCCAAGGTACATCAGTGAAGCCACTTTTCGCCCGCGCCAACTTCTCAAAGCACAACCTGAGAGGAACTGAGGACGACAATCAAAGGCCCCTGTAGCTCGCGGCGTAGCTTTGTAGCCTCCGCGTCATGCAGCAAGTGGAGAGGGGATGCTTGCCATGCACCAACTGCATGGTCACTGTCCCTCAAGATAAGCAGCTTGGCGATGGACCGTGATCTGTCTGGACCCAGGGGTGATCCCCCCCCTGTTGTTAGAAGGAAACGGTCATCCATTCGGCGATACCCATGCCATCCACGTGACCATGATGATTTTCAGGGGAGTGTATGAATGGGGGGGACCTCAACGGAACTTCATGCTTTTTAAACACCGAACCGTGACACTGGTTCATAAAAGCCCTCTTAATAACAAATCTTCCGGATCTGTATCTTTTTTCCATATTTTTTTCCAGTGTCACTGGCAAATCGATTAGATTAGACTGCGGGTGATAACATGTGTTAGCCACACATTCGCTCCAGATGATGCAAAAACCAACGAGTTCAGTTCAATACGGTGTGGCGCATGAAAGCACATGACAGCGACTCGATCCTGCCCAGGAAATATGTGGATTTAGCTGCAAAGCTTTCTGGGGAGACCGGGGAGACCAGAAGACCGGCAGACCACCCACAGGTGGACAGTTGATGATGTTGGAAAAGCGGGACCACTCTTCGAAGCACAGATCCGGATCAGCCAACCGTGCGAAACATGGTCCAACATGGTCCAACTTCCTATCGAAACAGGGGCGACATGGGCGACATAGATAGGTCCATGGGCATGACTGGAAAGGCACATGGGAGCGAACAGGCCGAACACTCAAGACTCGCCTGAAAGGGATGGGTAGTAGTTGGCGGGTACCTTGAAACAAGAAAGCTTCATGGGTTTGGTCTGATCTCACCCTGATCTCACCCTGTTCTACTTGTATTTTTGTTCCATTAACCTTGCAGCAACCTTCACCTTCAGGGACTTCCGACCCTTAAAACATGTAGACTCAGCAGATGAAGAGCTTCAACTCCCTCAACTCCTTCGAGATGAAGGGCTTCTTCAATCCATGTAACATGGTGTTTGATCAATCAAGACTCTACATGACGGGTGGTCGACCAAACAGCCACAGCGCTTGGTTTTGGAGTGTCCCACTGGGACGGAAGGCCGCGTGGTTCGGTGTTTGAGGTACTATGCCGTCGAGAGGTTTGGAAAGTTCTCGCATCTGGGCAACTGCGGTGGGAAGTCGCGGGTCTGTTTTTTGGGGGGAACATCCTTTGATCTACTCAAGGTAGCAGGATTGTGTCTCTTCCTTTTTTGGATGTTGGCGTGGTTTTTCGAGTGTGTGAAATTAAATGTACAGAATGTCAAGCCAACCCCCAACCCGGCCTGGTAGCCTCTCTTTGATTCTTCTCCTCGGAGTGACATCTTCACAAAGGCACGCACACACTTAGATCCATGCTCGCAAGAGCTATATCAGTTTTGGTTGTCCACTCTAGTGATTACAATACCAGTTTAGAGTGCTGAAACCTGAACCTGTCAACGGCGATGTGCACAACGGAAAGGTTTCTGGGTCAGAAACAGTATGTTTTACATCATTGACACACAGCAACCTAAGGAACCAGATTCCTGAACAACCAGGTGAGGAGGCCAAAGTGCCTGTAGTTAAAGGCCAAAGTTCCAACTCCACGATACGACGAACAGGTCGAAGTGACGGCGGCCGCTCTTGTCTGCAGAGTGCACTAGCCCATTATGGAAGATGAGAGTGACATCTTGTGAACATCACACTTCAGCAGGTACGTGGATTCTGCGTCCAGAATCCATGTCAGTGACTCAAAACAGCCTCTTCGTTGGACTGCCGCTGTCAAGAGTCAGGCAGTCCCCCTGCTTAAAAACGAAGAAAGAAAAACAATCCATCAGGATCCCTGTGACTCCAAGGGTTATACACACACTGTCCAGTGCACGCAACTCGTGTGGCTCCGAGGGCTATTCAAGTTCAATCTTTCGAGCTGGTTAATAGCCACACTGGTTGATACCCTTCTGTGCAAATCCCTGCAGCATGCCGTGGTGATGGTGTGTGTCTTATACTGCCAGCACGCGCGCCTGACTACAACTGACGATGCTGCGTGCATCTACCAAGTTTGAAATGACTGGTCTGATTGACACTTGAACAACTCATTTCACTGACTTGAAACAGCACCATAGTAGCTGGATCAATAGACCTTAAAAATTCCTTTGCAACCTGCTGCCCTGTTGTGCTAATCTGATGATTCCTGCTTGACAGAGCGTTGACACACACACACACACATTGACACTTCTGGGATGTACCTCCCCAAAGTTCCCAACATTAGCACCTTTGCCTCGCCTGTGGCTGTGACTAAGCCGCGACGCAGCACCTGAGTATTCGCGATGTATCCCCCAGGAGTGCCGGCAACCAAAAACGGGCATTTCAGGTGAAAGAAAACTGCTTGCCTCCAAAAACTGGATTTGCTTCAGTTTTAAATGAATCTTTTCATTTTGGGAATATGATTCAAGCATCTTCAAATGATATACCCTAAGAATCCGCGCCCGAACCAATCGGGCCCGGGCCCTGCGTTTCGTTGTCGGGTCCGACCCCTGCCAAGAGGATCCAAGAGGTTGGGCTCGTACGGATTCTGAGGGTAAGTGATATGAGAGGCGGCAGACCTGAGTTTTCAGGGATAGAGTCTCCCGAAGGATTCCTGGCACAGCTATGCGCAGTTGAATTTGATCGCAGAAAAGGTCGACCCACCCGCTGTTGCAGGCAATTTGTACCAAAAGGATCCCCTGGGTGGTTTCTGGAACCTTCCACCGGTCCGTCGTTGACCGGCGTTTTTCCGGCATTTCTGAAAGGGCGAAGGTCGCCGCGAAGGTCGCCAACCAGTGGCAAGTTTCGTAGAGCGTTCGTGGCCGAGGCACATGCTGAAACCAGGGCTGGCGACCGCCACTTGGATTTAAGGGCGGAACTTGGGTCGGTGAAAGTCCACTTCTTCGCCCTGATGGGCTTGCGACAGCTGCCTCATGCAGGCTGCCTGGGGGTGGCCTGTGGATGTTCTGGCGTCGTGTTTTGCCAACAGGTTGTCCAGCTGGGTGTCGTGAACGGCTGGATGCCTCGTGCTTGTCCGGAGCTGCTCTAGTGGTGTTGCTGGTGCTGATTCACTGTATATCACATTCCATACGCCACAAAGCCAGACGTTGATCGATTTGCCAATGGCCGTGCTCAAAGCTGAGGCTCAGCCGAGGATAGCAGATAGCATCTCTTGATGTCAGTAACACACCTCCCCACTCTGCAGCGCCACTGTGCCGCCAGATCCCAATCGTCCACGGAATTCCATCAACAGCTGCAGAGACATGCTCCTCGAAGAATGAACTTGGACCCCCACCACTTGCGCTTCGTTGGCTGTGACCCGCGGTCACAGCCCAACGCTTGCGATGTCGTCACAAGCTTCGTCCGTGCACACGGGCGGCCGTCCACGTCGATGGATGAGTGGAACAGGAAGCTTTCAAGAGGAAACGGGTCGGGTGAGAGTCTCAAGATGAGATGTTGAAAAGGATTTTTCAGGAACCAATCACCAATCATGATCTGAAGTTGCCGAAGGGTCTAGATGTGTCAGACATCTCCTTTGGTTTCTGAGGAAAAATCGTCTCAACCAAGCTGTCAGGTCGCTGTCACGAATGGACCTGATCTCACCTGAATCCTTAAGAGTCACCCATGCTCATGTGGCCTTGCAATGCTGTGGACGGCCCGTATACGTTTTCACGATCAGCTGGCACTCTATGACCTGAGCACGGCTGGCGGAAAAGGTCTCATGCTTTTGGTCGCATAGTTGGCATGGTAGCCCCTGGATGAAGATCTTATCGCTCATGGTCCACTTTTTCACGGCTTGCTCTCGGTGCTCTTGGCTTCATGCACAGCTTTGATCATGGCTGTGAC